AAATTGGGTTGTTTTCTTGAGGTTTTTTTGTATATTTTGAATAACAGTCCTTTATTAGATGGGTCTTTTGCAAATATCTCCCCTCTCTCTGTGGTTTATGTTCTCCTTCCCTTGACATTGTCTTCCCAGAGCAGTTTTTTCATTTCAATGATACCCAGTTTATCAATTATTTCCTTCATGGATCCTACCTTTGCTGTTGCATCTAAAAAGTCATCATTGTCACATACAAAGTCATCTGGCTTTTCCCCTACATTATCTTCTAGGAGTTTTATGGTTTTGTGCTTTACATTTAAGTGTATGATTCATTTTGAGTTAATTTTTGTGAACTGTATAAGAACTGTGTCTAAATTCTTTTTTGCATGTGGATGTCCAGTTGTTTTAGCACCATTTGTTGAAAAGACTATCTTTGTTCTATAGAATTGCTTTTGCTCTGTTGTCAAAGATCAGTAGACTGTATTCATGTGGGTCTATTTCTCGGCTCTCTATTCTGTTCCATTGACATGTCCATTCTTTTGCCAGTACTACACTGTCTTGATTGCTGTGGCTTTATAATGAGGTTTGAAGTCTGGTAGTGTCAGTCTTCCAACATTGTTCTCAACACCGTTTTGGCTATTCTGATCTTTTGACTCTCCATACAAACTTTAGATTCAGCTTGTTGATATGCACACAATAACTTGCTGAGATTTTGATTGGGACTGCATTGAATCTATAGATCAAGTTGGGCAGAACTGACATCTTGACAATATTAAGTCTTGAAACATTTACTTTTCATTCAACCAACATCTCATTCATCTAAAGAACAACAATCTGTTCATCACAGGGTTATTTGAAATATTTTTCATAGATTAATTATCTAGAGACTATGAACCCTGTGACAATGTCCCTGCTCTCAAGTTCATCTCTAAGTGGGAACAGGGCAGACAATAAACAAGCATACAAATACATTAATAATTTCAGGTAATGGTTGTGAAAAAGGCATGTGATAAAGAGTGACAGGCAGTGAAAGAGCTACTTAATGTCAGGGAATTTCTCTAAGGAGGCAACATTTGGGCTAAGACCTTCATGAAAACAGAGAGCGGGCCATGAGAAAGATTTTTTAATTTTTATTTACCTTTATTATTACTATTATCATTACTTTTTGGCTGAGCCACATGGTTTGTGGGATCTTGGTTCCCCGACTAGGGACTGAATTTGCCCCTATGGCAGTGAAAGCACTGCGTTTTAACCGGTGGATCGTCACGGAATTCCGAGAAAAAGTTTTAGACGGAGAGAACAATGGAGATGAAGGCTCTGAAAGCAGAAGTGATGGATGTTTTGGAGAAGAGCGAGGTGGCTATAGTATAGTGAAGGAGAGGTATGTGAGGTTAAAAAAAATAGAAGGGATCATATCCTGTAGGGTTATTTTATTGAAAAAGAAAGTAAAAAATACATGTTGTGGGATATATACTACGTACAATTTTAAAAATGATTTTATTTAATTTTGGCTGTGCTGGGTCTTTGTTGCTGTGAAGACTTTTCTCTGGTCGTGGTGAGTGGGGGATACTCTGCAGTTGGCGGTGTACAGGCTTCTCCGTGCGGTGCCTCTCAGGCACGTGGGCTCCGTAATTGTGGCTCCCAGCCTCTAGAGCAAAGGCTCAATACTTGTGGCCCATGAGCTTTGTTGTTCCACGGTATGTGGGATCTTCCTCGATCCTCGATTTGAACCCGTCTCCTGCGTTGGCAAGTGGATTCTTTACCGCTGAACAAGCAGGGATGCCCTAAAATTTTTTTTTTTTAGATACAACTTTTAAGATTTATTTATTTTTGGCTGTGCTGGGTCTTCGTTGCTGCATGAGAGCTTTCTCCAGTTTCAGCGAGGGGGGCTGCTCGCTAGTGGTGGTGCTCATGCTTCTCACTGTGTGGTTTCTCTTGTTACTTTGGGCTTCAGGAGCTGTGGTTCATGGGTTCTGGAGAACTGTCTCAGTAGTTCTGGTACGTGGGTTTAGTTGCAAGTATACAATTTTTACATGAACATTTCAGTGAATGTTTACATCTGTATACACCCATGGATGTGACCTTATCTAGATTGAGATATAAAATAGGAGTCAGCAAACATTTTTGGTAAGGTGCCAGACAGAAAATAGTTTAGGCTTTGTAGGCCTATGGTCGCTGCTTAGCTCCACTATTATAGGAAGGCAGCCCTAGTTGCTATGTAATGAACAGGCATGGTCTGATTCCCATAAATCTTTAGTTACAGACACTGAAATTTCAATTACATGTAATTTTAACATATCACAAAATATTTTCCTTCTTTTTTCTTCAACCATTTGAAAATATAAGCCTTTCCAAGGACTTCCCTGGTGGTCTGGTGGTTAAAAATCCATCTTCCAAAAAAAAAAAAAAAAAGAAATCCATCTGCCAACACAGGGGACGTGGGTTCAATCCCTGGTGCAGAAAGATCCCATATGCTGTGGAGCAACTAAGCCTACGCACCACAACTACTGAGCAACTACTGAAGCGCGAGAACCTGGAGCCCATGCTCTGCAACCAGAGAAGCTTCCACAATAAGAAGCCCACAAAGTGCAATGAAAAGTAGCCCCTGCTTGCCACAACTAGAGAAAGCCCTCACAGCAATGGAGACCCAGTGCAGCCAAAAATAAAAATATTAAAAAAAAACAAAAAACACTTAGCTTGTCGGCTGTACAAAAAACAGGTGGTGTGCAGGACCTGCTCTTCGGGCCATAGTTTACCAACCTCAGATACATTTCCAGTATCCCCTTTGTGCATCTTTCCAGTTAAAACCCTTCTCCCTCACTTGTTATTGTTCTGATTTTTGTTAATTTTTGCTGCTGTTAAACTTTACATAATCTGAATCACACGTATTTATTCTTCAGCTCCACATAATGTCTGTCCTATAGGAATGTTAAGCCATAATACATAATTTTCATGTAAGAGGACTAGGATGCCATTTGGGGATTTGAAGTGTGACAGCATCACGATCTGATATATATGAAAAGTTCACTCTGGTTGCTGTGTGGAGAACAGAGTAAAGGAAAACAGGAGTGGAACTGGGAGGCCCAGTCAGAAGCAATCCAAGCCAAGAGATGATGGCGGCTGGACCACAGTTAGTCATGGAAATAGAAGACAAACTTTAGACTTGAGCTCACATAACCAATATTAGTTATTTATTTTTTAATAAGGTGTAATAATACTAATAAATTTCCTGAATAATCTTTCTAAGACTGGCATTGAGAATTGTCATATATAAACTGTGGCCCTACCTTCAAGGGGTTAACAACAGTTTTGGGGGTGGGGTGCACAGACTGTGAATCCAGATACAATTCAATCAGTGTTTTAAGAAGTCCAGGAGGCTGTGGGAACCAGAAGGGGTATTAAACCAGCCTGAGGGTGATCAAGAGAGATCACCTGGGGGTTGTGGCCTTTGAGCTAAATTCTAAAGGAAGAGTCTTGAAAAAGGATTTAAAAAAATTATATGGCAAGGGTAAGAAATCTGAGACTCTTGGAAGCTCAGTGCAGTTCTGTGATGGTGTCTCAGAGAATATGTAATCTTGGCTTAGAAAAAAACACTTTGAACTGGGTCTAAATAGATGGACATTTATCTACATTTCCAATCAATCAATCCTGTATGCTTCTGTGTGCCCTGAGGCTCCAGCAAAGAACAGAGGTAGCAAACTGACAGCCTGAATCTGATGTATTTTGGCCTACATTCCTGTAGGGCGACCACATGAACAGTGGCTTGAACAGTGGTTATTACTTTTGGACAGAGCATATGGTCTCCTGTTCCTGGCATTCCTCATTGGCTCTCTTTGCTTTTACATTACCTTCTTGGCCCTCCTAGGTTTTTGTTTTCAACCCATGGTCTTTACTGTAAGAAAAACAGTACTTAAAATCACTTACACAAAGAGAATCATCAGCTCTTCGAGTAGAATGGGGAAGAGCTAAACTGAGTGAATGAAGAGAAGTTGAATGAGAGCTTTACCCTGGATTTCTAACCTGGCTCCTAGGGTAGGCTTTAGGTGGTAAATTTTGTGACAGTTTGTATCCTTGTGACTTAGGCTGGTTGGCTATGAATCTTGGTTTTGGGCTCTGTCACTGGTTAATCTCTATCAGCCTCAAATCATTTGTTAAACGGGGCACTGTTGCGATTAAAAGAGAGAATCAGGGCACAAAAGTGACCTCAGTTAAGGTCCTGTTATTATATTCCAGGGTGAGGATATCAGATTCTCAAAGGGGGTACTTAACCTAGAAAGTTGCTAAACAGTTGGTATAAATGCTTAGGAGTTATTGGGAATGCTATCATAAAGAAGGCTGAGCTGAAGAATTGATGCTTTTGTATTGTGGTGCCGGAGAAGACTCACGAGAGTCCCTTGGACTGCAAGGATATCAAACCAGTCAATCCTAAAGGAAATCAATGCTGAATATTGATTAGAAGGACTGATGCTGAAGCTCCAATACTTTGGCCAACTGATGCCAAGAGCCAACTCATCAGAAAAGACCCTGATGCTGGGAAAGATTGAGGGAAGGGGGATAAGTGGGAAGACAGAGAGGATGAGATGGTTGGATCCCATCACCGACTCAATGAACATGAGTTTGAGCAAATTCTGGGAAATAGCGAAGGGCGAGGAAACCGGGCGTCCTGCAGTCCATGGGGTTGTACCGAGTCGGTCACAACTTAAGAGACTAAACAACAACCCTTGTGTAAAATGAAGCAGGTCTACGTAAGTGGACTGCCATATGAATCCAGAGGCCCATGCTCCACTGCTAACTAGCTAAAAGTACCTGAGAAACTGCTTCAGCACTCCAGGTGATCTATTAAAGTGGGGCGGACTCCTCCGAGTTGGCAGCCGCAATGCAGCTCCAGCGGCAGGTTCCGTAGTGGATAAAAACGCTCCGTCGCGGGCAAGCGCTGTCTCCGCGCGGACTACATCTCCCAGCCGGCCTTGCGCTTCGGGCAGCGCCCTACGCTAGCACGCGAGCTTCCTCGCTCCCCCAACCTCCAGTTACTGCTTCTCGCGAGAGGACGGGCCGCGCCGGCGGTAGCGATAGTGAGCTGTGGTGGTGGCGGTGGTGTTGGTGGTGGCGGCCGAGACGGCGGCGGCCATTTTGGTGAGGCCTCGGAAGCGGCGGCGGCGGTTCGCTGCGAGTAGCGTCTTCCACTTTCCCCACCGCCCGCCCGCATCACTGTGCCGCGAGAGGAAGGAGTGGAAGCAAGGCGGTGGTAGTAGCCGCGGGCCCCAAGGGAATTTAAAGGCCGCGAAGGCGGCGGCCAAGAGGGGGCCCTCCCCCCTCCTCGGCGGGAGGGGGGGTGGTGCGCACGCCCCCGAGGACGCAGGTAAGGAGAGGGAGACAAGATGGCGGACGCCTCACAGTTCCCCCTCCCCTGACGGTGACTGCGCGCGCATCTTTCCGCCACCGCCTCCCCTCCCACCTTCCCGGGATGCTGCGCGCGCACCTTCGGCCGGGGCCCCGGGGCCGGTGCGCGAGGCTGTCGGCGCGCGCCCATAGAGACAGGCTCAGGGGGGCCAGGCTGGCCGGCGCTGGGCCCGGGCGCGTCTCCTCTCCTCTCCCGCCGGTCTGCGCACGCGTGCCTGAGCGAGCGAGCGAGCCCTGAGAGGACGGACCCAGGTGCGCTCCTGCCCGCCCACCAACCCCAGCCCCCTCTCAGGGGCGCGCGGGAAGAAGAAGGGGGGCGTGGGGCGAGTAGTCGGGGCGCGCGCCCACCATATCCAGTCAGGAGCTAGGACCTGGCACTAGCCCTCCCTTATCTCAGCTTTTCGCGGTCTGTTGGTGGTGGGGGGGGTGCTCCCTGACCGGCAGGGATGAAAGACTCCCTAGCCTTGCGACCCTTGTGTGCGTGGGTTTGGGTTCTGGCGGGAGCCCCCGGGCGGTGCGCGCAGCCGGCTCTCTCCGCCTCCAGGCGCGCACGCGCGGGCCCCTCCCCCAGTCGCTCACGTTGGGTGGGGTGGGAGTCTAGAAGGGGGCGGGGCCACCTTAGGGCTAGTGGCAAGTTGGGGCAGAGGTCAGGGGTCACGCTGGGTCAGGCTGTTGGGACGCGTTGGGAGACGGTAATGAAGCCGGGGATCGAGAGTTCATAGTTCTTGATTCTGGTTGTTAGCGCGATTCTAGTGACTTGTGGAAGAGGGAGTGAATCAAAGGCTGCGCCGTGGTTAAGGAATTTCCTTAAACACTGGGGAAACACTTCCGGGCCTTTTGTGGGTTTACCCTGCCTATTTCCGGGGTATGGCTCTTTGCCTTTAGGCCTTCCTCACCTCTGAGTGCTAGTCTAAGGTAGCTCTAGTTCTGGTGTTTGAGGAAGTGTCTTACGGGGCAGGTGTAGGAGTCGAAGGGCTCCCCTGAGGAAGGGTGGATTCTCCTGTGTTCAGCCCTCACTGGAAAGGAGAGCAGGCTGCCAGGCAGCCAGCACCTTTTGAGCTTCTGGATGTGACAGCTTTTTTGGCTTTGTTAATTTCAGCGGTTGGAGTCTTTTACCCTTCAGCTTTTTAAACTTGTTGTCGAGGCTTCACTTGCCTGCTTCTCCTCCCCAGCCAGAATCTCATATCCCTAGGAAATTCTGTTTTCACAGCACATGCTTTGTTTTTATTTTTTGGAAATGTGATCTTTTTATACTATTGTAATTCTCTTCAGCCTTTTAACTGATTTGGGTTTATTAAAAAAACTTCAAAAGTTGGTGTAAAGAAGGCTTTGATGGGTGTTGGTAGATATGAATTAGTTCGTCACCGCTGTTTTCCTCCCTGTTTGTTTCAGCCGTGATTCCCCTCAGTACGGCGGCATCGTGGAAGTGCAGACTTTCACAGGGGGTGTGGTCTCAGCTCACACAGGTGAGGGCTCAAATACCGCTTCAACTACTGATGCTAATGGAGAGATGTTTAAGATAATGATTGTGGTGCAACACAGTACTGGGTCTATGGATAAGAGAAAGATCTGTTCAAGGCATTTCTGTTTGACCATAACACTGCTGTAGAATCATAACCTGTTAACCAGTGTATTACTTTATACCTATGAAACTATTTTGAAAGGAAAATTCTTTTCTAGTTATCCAGTCTTGTAAGAAAGATCTGTTCAGCCTGCCTCCACCAGGGAGAGTAGCACATTCTTTGGTTTTGACATCAGACTGTCTTAGTCTGTTCTTCTCCTCCTACTTCTTTACTGTGTGACCTTGTGCAAGTCATTTGATGTATTTGCATTTGGATTTCCTAACTTATAAAATGAAAGAAATACTAGAATGTAAGCTCCATTTAGGTCAGCCATCTTTTCTGCGTAGCTCTTTTTTCATCATGTAGAAGGAACTGAATAAACATTTATCGTGGCTTGAAAAATATCTGGTTTATGAGAAGGATGTGAGAATTATAGAACACATGAAGTAAGTACTAAGTAAAGAATTTGACACATAATAGATGCTCAAGAAACTTAAGTTGTAATCACTGTTCAGTTAACTTTATTTGTTAGTGTTATTCCTGGGTTTTAAAAAGATTCTTGTAATCTTTCTAAATCCACTTTCTACTGTTTTTACCCTACTTTAGGTGCTCCAGAGGCCGGTGGACCTGAGCGGAGGCTGGGACGCCCTAGTGGGCCCCGGGCCCTGGAAGGCGGGTCCCGGTGGCCGGTGGCCCAGAATGAGGCCAGCTCCCAGCATGCCCTGCAGCCGGACGCCAGCCCCTCGGCCAGCAGCAGTGGTGACAACGACCCAGTCGTTCTTCAGGCATCCAAAGAGGAGCCTGGGAGTGGGACCATGCAGAGCTGCCCCTCCCCTGCTCACCCTCAGCTCCCAATCTTGCAAACACAGGTTCGAAAGTGGGAAAGGTTCCTTCTCTGCTGCTGCTTTGGGCTGCTGGCTTTGAGGCAGAAGGAATGTGGCAGGTTTTAGCCATGTTTCCACGATCCTAGCTAGCTTGGTTGCTGAGTTTGGAGAGTTTTCGATACTCAAGTGGGCTCTCAAGCCTGTTGGATACACATATTCTACTTGACATTAATGTTATGTTGATCTCTAAGAGCATGGAAACCCCTTATTACCTGCAAAAGTTGGAATTAGACCAGGTTGGAAATGAGTTTTGTGACAAAATGCTTTCAAGACTGTGTGCTTTGAGAATAGCTCAATTTCTTTTGGAACTGAAAGGAGGTAAGCTTTATAGATGGGGTATATTCATCTTTTTTTATATTGAGGGAGTGTTGGAGATTGGGGGAAAAAATCATGACTTTTATTTATTTATTTATTTTTAATCATGACTTTTAAAACTGGACAGACCTAGATTTCTATACAGTAGACTTTTGATGGTTATGGGTTTGATATTTGTAATTTGCCTGGGAAATTGTGTGATGTAATGTCCTTCATAATTCAGTTGAGGTAGGAATTTGAGTGGCATACTGTGAAGCTCGTGTGCCAGAGACAATTTCATGAGTTCCCTCATTATCCGCAATTAAGTCGGACTTTGTTTTCTACTTATTATTGTTTGTGCAGTACCTTGTAATAGGTAGATGTTTGAGAACAGTGACCAACCTTCCCTTTCCCCTCCCACCTCTCCAGTAAAGGAATCCTTAACAAGGCTAGTGATGAACATATAGAGGTTTGGATGATTTGGGGCTTTTTTGTCACCTTTTAAATTTGGTGGTAGCTCAGATTTATTTGCCTGGATGAATCTGCCATACTTGCTGTGAAAAGGAGGGAAAAATAGGGAGTTGTTTATTTGAGTGAACTCTTGGAGGTTCTGAAAAAATCATTAAGATTTGAAGTCATGTGCTATCTTAGTGTTTTTGAATTGGGGAATTATGTAAATGTCAGGCTATAATTCCTCTTGCATGATAAGTGTTTACTGGAAAGTTGGCTTCACCATCTTGAATACCTTATTAAAACTATTCCAAATGCTGTGTTTATAAAAATGAGGTTGATACCCTACTCCAGAGTTTTTTCATGGGAAGATAGAATGAAGTAATGTACTTAAAACTCCTTAGAGGGCTACTAAGCATTCATTTTATCTCTCATTTTTGTCTTTTCTAGATGGTGTCGGACGGCATGACAGGCAGCAATCCCGTGTCCCCTGCCTCATCCAGTTCCCCAGCCTCTAGTGGGGCAGGTGGCATCTCCCCCCAGCATATAGCTCAAGATTCCTCTTTGGATGGACCTCCAGGGCCCCCAGATGGTGCCACAGTGCCCTTGGAGGGGCTCAGCTTACCCCAGCCTGCTGACCTGGCTAACAGGGGCCCAAAGTGGGAGAAGAGCCATGCTGAAATTGCAGAGCAGGCCAAGCATGTACGTATTGGAAATGCCCGTGAAGCTTCTTGGGAGTCTTCTTCCCTGAACTCCTGTGTCCCATGAGTACTTAACACTTCTTTCCTTGTCTTTGATTTGGAATATAGGCTCTGCTTTGACTTACATGATTTTGAGCAAGTTGCTTGAACTTTGAGCCTCATTTTCTTTTCTGTAAAATAAGGATGGTGTAATAGCCAGTGGGCTACTTAAGTTTATTTATTTATTTATTTATTTATTTACATTCTGCTCAATTGTGTGTGTGTGTGTGTGTGTGTTCCATTTATTTTTATTACTTGGAGGTTAATTACTTTACAGTATTGTAGTGGTTTTTGCCATACATTGACATTAATCAGCCATGGATTTACATGTGTTCCCCATCCTGAACCCTCCTCCCACCTCCCTCCCCATTACTTAAAAGTTTGAATTGGCACTTAGCTAGTGGTCCAGTGGCTAAGATTCCAAGCTTCCAGTGCAGAGGGTGATCCCTGGTCAGGAAACTTATTTCCCATATGCTGCATAGCCAAATTAAAAAAAAAAGACTCCATGGTCCTAATGTGGGGGGTCCAAGTTTGATCCCTGCTCGGGGAACTAGGTCCCACATACCACAACTAAAGATCCTGCATGTGGCAACTGAGACCCAGTGCAGCCAAGTAAATAAAAGTAATTTTTAAAAAAAGGACTTAAAGGAGAAAGTAAGACATGAAAGTGCTTTGTAAGCTAAAAAAAATTTAGCTAGTTTCTAAAATTTACTAGTTTCTACTTTATATTTGTCTTCTATAGTCTCTGTTATACTTAGCAGAGGTAAATGTCATCTCTGGGCCAGCAGTATCAGCATTATTACCTGGGAACTTACTAGAAGTACAAATTTTTCATACCTCATTTCTTCCTACCCATTTATAACTCTTGGCATGGGG